AGTAGCTGGGGAAAACCCTAGCTGGCAGGGACACTCAAGTTCTAATCCCAGCACTGGCATTGACTCACTCTGTCGTTCAGGGCAGATTGACTATTCCATAGTCAATTTGATAACGTGTTACAAATAGGGACTCCACAGAACCTAGGTTCTAGGATCTGGGAATGCATGCCTTGAACAACTTCCATTTCTACCAGTTGGAGCTGGAGAGGAAGAAAAGGGATTCTTTTTCCACATTCCCAAGCCAGTCCAGAGTACCTGATTCAGGCTGAGGGGTTCCATCAAAGCTCCAAGTAACACTCCCTAAGTGCCCTGATACATAGGGCAGCAGGCAATTTATTGGCTGCTTTCTATGGAACTCACTGACCCACATGCCATGTCCAACAGCCCTCCTTGCCTCTCCTCCACCCCTCCAGTCTGCAGCCTCATTTGCCAACCAGGACTCAATCCCTAGTTGTTGTGGGTGCCAGGAGGCAGACAGGAATGGAGTGCAAGCAAATGGTACATCCCCATACAGTTTACTGAGCATCAGACCCTCTAAGGCCAGGCAGATTTGAGGTGGAGGGTCTGGAAGGAGGAATGGCCGAGAGCAGGTCAACCTATGTGCTCAAGCCCAAAAGTAATCTCCTCACATTCCCTTTCCAAGCCACATCTATCCAGGTTCAGGACATCTTCAATCCATTTTTGTTTTCTCCAGCTAAGCATGAGAGTCCTTGCTCTTTGCATGATGAAACTATGAGCACGAAGCATTGGCAAGAGGCCCTGTTTAAGAAGGAATGCCAAGTGTGGTGTATTCATTTCCTGTAGCTGTCAAAGGTCTGTTCCAGGAAATCTATGCTTTTTCTATCATACTCAAGATCCTTCCAGCCTCTGCTGGATTCCAGAGCTGCTTCTACATTTTTTTAGTATTTGTTATAGCAGTAACCCACTTCCAGGTATCGAAGTCTCTATTAGTTTCTTATTGCTACTGTAACAATTTATCAGAAACCTAATGGCTTAAAACAATGCAAATATATTAACTTATAGTTCTGGAGTTCAGAAGTTTAAAATGAGTCAGCAGGGCTGCATTCCTTCTGGAGGCTCTGGGGGAGAATCTGTTTTCTTGCCTTTTCTTTTCTTTTTTTTTAAGATTTTATTTATTTATTTGGCAGAGAAAGAGCACAAGCAGGCAAATCAGCAGGCAGAGGGAGAGGGAGAAGCAGGTTCTCCGCTGAGCAGGGAGCCTGACATGGGGCTTGACCCCAGCACCCTGGGATCACGACCTGAACCGAAGGCAGACACTTAACCAACTGAGCCACCCAGGCGCTCCTTTCTTGATTTTTCTAACTTTTAGAGGCCACCTGCCTTCCTTAGCTCATGACCCCTTTCTCCATCCAACACAGCTTTAAAGTCGGGTGGGGGGGTGGAGCTCCAAAGGATCAAAGTTTTTACACTATTGAAATTAAGATGGCATTAATCTGAACCAGGTTGTTATTCATGATAATGGTAATCTTCAGAGTGACCACGAAGAAAATAACTAAAAAATATATAATAAAAGAAATAAAGGAATAAAATGGTATACAATAAAATGGTACTACCTGTGTACCACAAAACAGTAGTAGAAAGAGGACTGGAGTCAGTAAGTTGGCCAAATAAGATGTCCCTTGTTCATATCTCCCCCTAAACAACAATTTTGCACCTATCCATGGACAAAAGAACTTTTTGAGGGCTGTTGGGATCTGGCACCATACGCCAAGGAAGGAGTTACCCCCCCCACTCACCAGGTCAAAAGCATACAGGTATCAGTCCTGGCTGTGGAACCTGCAGGGGCCTCTCTTCAATATCCAAGTCCATGAAATTCATAAGTCCTCAAACAAACTCAACTGTAAAAGCTCTTCTCCAAAGACATATTGGAATGAAACTGTCAAAAACCAAAGACAAAAAGAATCTTAAAAGCAGAAAGAGAAAAGAAACTTGTAACTTACAAAGGAACCCTGAAAGGTGATCAGAGGATTTGCCAGCAGAAACTTCACTGCAATGAGAGAGTGGGGTGGTATAATCAACCACTGAGAGAAGAAAACTGCCGTCCAAAACACTCTACCTGGCAAAGTTGTGCTACAGAAATTAAGGAAATCTGAAGACTTTCCCAAACAAAAGCTGAGAGATTTCATTACCATTAGACCTGCCTTACAAGAAATGCTGAACGGAAAGGATGCTAATTAGTAACATGAAAACATATACATCACACTAGGAAAGCTAAGTAAGTAGTCAAATTCAGAACACTCTAATACTGTAATATGATACTATATTAAACACTTTACTCTAAAGGTTAAAGGACAAAAGTATTAAAAATAACTATAACTACAATAATTTGTTAATGGTTACACAATACAAAAAGAGGTTAAGTTGTAACATAAACATAAAAGGAGGGATAAAAGGGTAAAATTTTTGTATGCAGTCCAAGTTAAGCAATAGGCATAAAATAGACTGTTTTATCTGTAAAATGTACTATGTGAGCCTCATGGTAACCTCAAAGCAAACATCTACAATACATACACAAAAGATAAAGAGAAAGGAATAAAATCATACCACCTCAATTCACAAATGAAGTCAGCAAGAGAGGGAGAAAGGAACAAGAGAACTACAAAACAGAAAACAGTAAGATGATATTAGCAAGTCCTTACCTATCAATATTCACCAAATATAAATGGATTACATTCTCCAGAAAAGGCATAGTATGGCTGAATAGATTAAAAAAAAAAAAAAGACCCAACTATTTGTTTCTTATAGGAGACTCACTTCAACTTGAAGGACACACATGGGCTCAAAGTGAAGGGATAGAAAAGATATTCCATGCAAATGAAAACCGAAAGAGAACAGGAGTGGGGCACCTGGGTGGCTCAGTCGGTTAAGCATCTGCCTTCGGCTCAGGTCATGATCCCAGGGTCCTGGGATGGAGCCCCTCATCGGGCTCCCTGCTCAGTGCGGAGTCTGCTTCTCCCTCTCCCCCTGCCCCGCACCCTACCCCCAGCTCGTGCTCTCTCTCACACTCTCTCTCAAATAAATAAATAAAATCTTTTAAAAGAGTAATACAAAACAAAAGAGAACAGGAGTAGCTATACTTATAACGGACAAAATAGACTTTAAGCCAAAAGCTATAAGAGACAAAGGTGAAAAAAGAAAGAACTCAAATAAAAAACCTAACTTTGTACCTCAGAGAACCAGGAAAAGGGCAAATTCAGCCCAAAGTTAGCAGAAGGGAGGAAATAATGAAGATCAGAGCAGAAATAAATAAAGACTGAAAAACAGTAGAAAAGATGGACAAAGCTAAGGGCTTCTCATCATTCCCCTTTTTCATTAATATATCATCAGCAACTGGCTGATGAGCTTGTAGTGTGTGTGTAGAGAGAGGGGGATGTGAAGACTCCTGTCTCTGCTTCAAACTGCACAGGTTCACTTTGATTTTGTTCTTAAATTTGGCTTCCCCTCTATTGTTTTACTTGGAATGATATTTTAAAAATGACAACATTCCATGATCTTATTATGTGCCTTGCAGCCTATGGAGCAGATAGTGGTTTAAGCGCTGTGAATTGTGCAAGACTGTTGAATCACAGATCTGTACCTCTGAAACAAATAATGCAATATGTTCAGAAAAAAAAAAAAAGATAAAAGGCAATGATGAAAGGGGCGCCTGGGTGGCTCTGTCATTATCTGCCTTCGGCTCAGGTCATGATCCCAGGGTCCTGGGATGGAGCCCCTCATCGGGCTCCCTGCTCAGTGCGGAGTCTGCTTCTCCCTCTCCCC